TAATTAAGCACGCAGATGAACCAGATCTTTAAGGCTTTCCTGTCGTGGATTTCCATCACTATGAATTGCTGGGTGCATTTTTCTCTCAATGTGCACTTGGAGAGAAATTAAGTCTACTTAATTTAAGCATTTTCCCTTTAGCAACAGAACCTCTGAAAAGTCTCTGTTCATTCTGCAACTCTAATTACTTGTAGTCTGCTGGTAAGTTTAGCTTTGCTAAGTTATGTTTAACCTTCCATCATCTTTGAAAAATGCTGTCTCTTCTGAATGGATATCTGGAGAGGATTCAATTCAAAGTAAGTGACAGATGATCTACTTTAGTTGTGATGTAGTTTATGGTAAAATTGAGCATTTGAATAGTTTTGGTAGCAGTAATATGTTGTCCCTTACCTAATGTCTTCTAATAAGTGTGTATAGCATGATAATTTTAATAGCTAGCATTCATATTGCATAATGAGAAAATATATGAAGAGTGTGAGGTGATAGAGGAAAAATTGGTTGCTACTTGATGTTTTTTGAAATTTCAATTAGTAGTTGAATAACCAGAGGTTTTGTCTAAAAATGTAAAATTCTTGATTAAAATTAAGCTATCTAGTGAACATCTAGGAGCTTCTCTGCTGTGTTTATACCAATTTGTTTTTTCCACTCTCTCTGTTCCCTTACTGAAAAGCCAGGTCTATTGAAATTATGCAGGAATTTCTTAGGTGACAGGTTAAATGGTGGTGAGCTCAGAGAAAATGTCCTACAGTAATACTTCAAAAACACATTGTTTGAGGAAATGGATGATTTTTGTAGTGGTCTGATTGAATTTACATTCTCTGAATGATATAAATAATACTTATGGAGTTGGATGTAAGGAAATCTAGACAGGGTTGTCTGCAGCTCTGGACTGCAAATCTTAGGTGCAAATTCAATGAATAAATGTCTGCACACATGTCCTCTCATTCCCAGAAGTCAAGTGGATTGAAAACCGGATTGAATATTGGATTATCTGGAGTGGATATTGCAAATTTCAGATTGAAATGACAGCTCAATGAACATCTTTCTACAATACGCTTATGTGCCTGTGTACGTTATTTTTACTTCATGCCTTAAAGTTTTAACCAAACCTTAGTCTTGTAGATTAGTTTAGTTCAGTACAATATTATTTGAAAAGCATAGGCATCCTACATTAAAAAAAAAAAACATGTTTTAAGTCTTAGTTTCCAAAGTACAGGTTGTGAACCATACTTCCTAATTCTCTGCATGGTGCATTGTCCTTTAGTTTCGCTCTCACTTCAAAGATGAGGACTTAGACCATCAGAAAATAGATGATACTTGCTTTAAAAGCAGGAAGAGATAACATAAGACAGCTCTTGCAAATCCACTAACTTCAAGCCCAGGCTCTTTCCATTACAATAGGTGTGTAAAACATTTTAAAATAATGTTTCTGTAATGATTTAAAGGATTCTGAAGACTTGCATTCATCAAAGCCTGCTGCCAGTGATTCATGAGAAGTTTTTAGTGTCTACCAAACCAAGACATGGAATAAATTCCCATAGGAAACAGCAGGTGTCTCTAGTTGTAGGATTTATTTGGATTTGTATTCTCTTTACATGTCCTGGTAAGAGGGGTAAGTGACTCCCTACGTCACTCTCAAATTGTCTGAATACATTAACATGTCATTATCTAATAATTTTATGATTATTATTTTAATTTGACTTTAATCATTTCAACTTTTTGAAATACTTAACAGAATTTAGGAACACAAGCAATATTTAGCCATATATTTTTAAAATTTAGTTTCAAATTGCAAACTTTATATTGATCTAACTTTAAAAACCTCTCTCACTCTCTCTCTCTTGATGCTTTTTGAAGTTTTAATTAAAGGTGTTATCTAAAAATGTGAAATTCTCAATTAAAATGAAGCTATCTAGTGACATCTAGGTTCTTCTCTGCTATACTTAGACTAATTGTAAGAAAAGAGAGAAAAAAACTGCTTTTGACCAGATTGAGATGCAAGGAAGGAATTTGCATGGAACATCTAAGAAGCACAGAGCTTCTTAGACACAGGTTTTTTACATTTTTTGCATTGAGGAACATGACAATACTATTTCATTTGGCAGAAACTCCAGTAGTGATCACAGAGAAGCAGGTGAAGACTACAACTTACATACAACTTTGTCTATTAAAGGTTAACTTAAAGGATAGGCATAGAGATCATCACAGACCTGGACAAGAATTGCATCCTAACTTCAAATTGTAGCAATGTGGAAGGAAGAAATTTGAACTCAAGTACACTCAACCAAAGGTATTCTCCTTATAAAGAAAGGAAGATATTTGCAAATATAAGGATATAATAAATGCATATTTTCTCTTTATGTAGTGTGAGGAAATTAAATGGAATTTAAATAAGGCTGACAGAGAATTTTACCCATTGAAGTTATTCTTATTTTACCCAGTAACTTTTTACCTTGTGGTCTCACAATTTTCTGGCTGTGCATATCTATACCTCTCTAAGACACATAGATTTTCTAAAGGTTTAACTACAAAGCATATATTTTCAAAGAATTTCTATAAAATACAATTTCCTTCAAGTTATGGGATATTTGAAGTAAGAGATACAGAATCTGCTGAATTACCTTTACTAAGATTGCCTGAGTTTATGTGCCTGAAGATCAGTAGGTATTTGAAATTCAAATTCATAGATTTTATTTGAATGAGTAGATTGCTTCAAGGAGAGATAGGAAATTCTCATGCATTTACCAATAGTTTTGAAAAATGCATATATGTGTATGACATTTCCATTTTTCCTTTCATTGCTTAAAATGTTTTCACCTGTAATTCTACATTTATCCTTTAATTCTTAAAGCAACCTTTAATGTTTTATTAGCTCATCAGAAGTTAAACTGATACTGAGGTTCAGAGATTTTGAGGAGAGACACCTGAGTCACAGAATGCCATGACCAGGAAAAGAACTCAGTTCATCTGATTCCAAATTTTGTTTTACTATATGCCTGCTACATCACTTCAGAAGCATATTTTTATGTGAGGGCACAGAACCATTCCAGGTATTTTCTCATTATTTTTTGCATGCTAAATCATAGTAAAGTGATAAATTCATGCCCAGCAGAAATAAAAGTACAGGTTCTTCTCATTACCCTTTGCCACAGTGAGAGGGCAGATAACAAATTTAACCAGACATTTTGTTTAAGATCATAGTTCACACTGAAAGCAGACTTCCTCTCTGACCAATCAGACTTTTTGTGTGTAAAGACAAGGGTAAAGTTGGTGAGCTGTAATAGGGAGTAGTCTTTAGACTTAATCTTCATATTGCTAGGATTACAAGACTAGCAAAATAGAGAAAGAGGTAGGATGGCAGAAAAATTTTAACATGAACAGAATGCAGAGAAATGCACTTAACTGTGTAAAACAGCAATAGTCTTCTGCTGTTATTGGGGTCACAGAGCTGATAGACACTAAACCCAAAATGCAGAAAGGCTGGAAGCAGTTGAAATATGACTACTACTTTGGGGATTCTCTGAACTGAATGGCATTTTCCCTCCACATACATATTTTAATGGACTTCATTAATGAAAACTAAAAAAGGCAAAAGATAATGAGCCACACTGTAAATTATAATGAAATTATACCTGATTCAGAGAAATTTATGAAATCTGACACAAAAGATTCTGAAATTAATCAAATAATAATAGTAAACCTTGTCCTCTAAAAAGACAGAAGTCCTGATTATAGTAATTTATGTGATCTCTCAGTTACAAGTAACTGTAACTAATCAAATTAATGGTCACGCACTTGTGGCATGTTTTATTTTGTGCTCGTAGTGATTGCCTAGCTGGTGCTCTGGCCATGGGTAGGAAAACAGAATGCACTGAGACTGCCTGGTCCAAACGTTCCCCCCACTACAGACTACCGAACACTGACATGGACTCTCAGTCCTGCCACTGGGGAGAGAGCGACCTCCTTGCTTCTTTTAGGCTCATTGTGTACCTCAAAGTGTCAATAGGTATTTCTTAGCACAACACTTGAAAAATGAATAACTTAACAATGTTATCATCATTATTTTCACTAGATATTTTTATGTACAGTTGACTGAAATGCTCAATTTTAGGATGTATGCAGGAATAGTATTAAATTAGTTTGGTAAATTTAACACACAGTTTGCTATGAGTATTTAGCCATAAAACACATTAAAGAACATCATTTACTTTCATAAATCTTGTCGTATTTTCTCTTTATCATAATCTGAAATTATAGGAGACACAGTTTTTCAGTTTTTATTTAAAAATTGAATATAATCACATAAAATTCCAATTTCAAAATTAATAGATGGGCTATAACTCAATCTATTATTTCCCTGTGCTATTTACTCTGTATCCTAATGGCTAATTCTCATGCTAATCATAATCATAATCCTTATGCTAATTTCTAGCATCTTAAATTAAAATTTCTTCCTTAAAAATAAATAAGAATACTTTTGCACAGTAATTTCTTCTTTCATTGGCTATTTTTTCTATGTCTCAATTTGCAAGAGTAGTTGCATTTCCCTGTTCATTTCATTCTATACAATTTGTCTTCAAAATGGATAAACTGACACTGAGTGTACTATCATGACGATGTAGACAATTACTTGTGGCAGATTACTCATACTTGTGGCTAAGTGACAGACATTGACAACAGCCAGAAACAGAAATATTTTGAAGATGGTGACTATGCTAACCATAGAAATAATATATTTAATCATTACACCAACCTAAATCCACCTAAGTTACAGAAACATACAAACATTAGACAATGGTATGAAAATACTAGTATAACATGCTATAGCGCATGGTATAGACACTTGAGTAGTAGTACGAGTGTTATTGTAATGTGGTAGCATTTGCTAATATCTTGCCCAATACACATAAAAATTTTATTAATAATGATAAACTTTATTGAAAATTGGTATGTGTATTCACACTCTGAGTAGTGGCTACATATCAGTTCCAGAATACCAGGAAATTTATGCTTTAAATGCTTCTTCCACGTTTTAGAAGTCTGATGCTTAATAGTTAATCCATATTTGGTTATTTTAATCCCCTGGGAATATCATCATTTTATATGGAAGAGTCTACATTATATCAGCATCTTGATAGGATCAATGGAAATGTATAACACAACTTCTACAGACTTCGTCTTCATGGGACTGTTCAGCAAACAGGAAACCTCAGGCCTTCTCTTTGCCATAATCTCTGTCATCTTTTTCACTGCACTGGTGACCAATGGGATCATGATATTCCTGATTAATACAGATTTACGGCTCCACACCCCCATGTACTTCCTCCTCAGCCACCTATCTTTCATTGACATGATGTACATCTCCACCATTGTACCCAAGATGCTGGTTGACTACCTGCTAGGTAAAAGGACCATTTCCTTTGTGGGATGCACAGCTCAACACTTCCTCTACCTTACCCTGGTGGGAGCTGAGTTCTTCCTACTGGGTCTTATGGCCTATGACCGCTATGTTGCCATCTGCAACCCTCTGAGATACCCTATCCTCATGAGTCGCCGGGTCTGTTGGTTGATCATAGCAGGTTCCTGGTTCGGGGGCTCTTTGGATGGCTTTCTTCTCACCCCCATCACCATGAGCTTTCCCTTCTGCAGTTCTCGAGAGATTAACCATTTCTTCTGTGAGGCACCTGCTGTGCTGAAGTTGGCATGTGCAGACACAGCCCTTTATGAAACAGTGATGTATGTGTGCTGTGTTCTTATGTTACTGATTCCTTTCTCTGTGGTGATAGCTTCCTATGCCCGAATTCTGACCACGGTCCACCACATGAGTTCAGTGGAGGGGAGGAAGAAGGCATTCACCACCTGTTCATCTCACTTGACCGTGGTGACCTTGTTCTATGGGGCCGCCATGTACACCTACATGGTGCCACACTATTACCATTCACCAGCCCAGGACAAAGTATTCTCTGTGTTCTACACCATCCTCACACCCATGCTGAACCCTCTCATCTATAGCCTGAGAAACAAGGATGTGGCTGGAGCACTGAGGCGGACACTAGGAACGTTCAAGGGTTCTCAGCAAGTGTCAGAAAGGGGCTTTTGATACCCGAATACTTCTCATGTGGATGGGAATAAGAAGCTCTGTGGTCAATGTGTCCATCCTATCTCACTGAAGAATTAAACTGAAAGAGTCCAACTAGGCAGAAAACAAAAATCGATATAAAACACGTGACCTCTCGATAACCTGTTTTATCTCTTTTTTGTTCCCTTTTGAAAATGGGCTTTCCTCCCACTCTGTTCATATGTATTCAAAATAAATATCCATTGTTTTCCAGAAAAACAGATTCAAAAATTTTACCCCTGAGTTTTACCCTTTTTTTTGGTAGGACTGAATTTTGAACTCAGGGTTTTACACTTGCAAAGCTGTCACACCATGCCTTTAGTTCATTTTACTCTGGTTATTTGGAGATGAGATTTTGAACTATTTGCCAGGGCTGGCCTTAAACCACAATCCTCTCAATTTCAGCCTCACAAAGATCTAGAATTAAAGGCATGAACCACCTGTGCCTGGACATATTTCACCATTAGAAGTTATAATAAGTCATGCAAAAAATGAATGGCATGGGCTTTACCAAGGAGGGTAGGAAGCAATATGGCGCTTTGGGATTCATGACACTGCTGTGACAGTCTAACTCATCTTCTAAGGATAATAGAAATGTGATACTTTCTGTATAGGCTTTTCAGGAAGAGAGTTGGTATAAATAACTTTCTGTTCCACTCATCAGGTGGTAACAAGAGTCACTACACATAGTTTTCTCAGATAGTCAGTGTTCTTAATACAGTCATTAAATGACTGTTACTTTCAGTAAAATTTCAGTTTTTAACTTTTGTTTTTGTTCAACAATCAACAAAAAACATTTTTCAAGTAAGTTACAAGTGATAAATGAAAGAAAAAGACACAACTCAGTGAAGACAACATGAGAATAATATTTGAAGGATTTCCAAAGCACTGGAGAAATGTGCAAGAGGATGGGTTGGAAAGATTGAGAGACTTTCCAGTTGCGTTACGTGATCATCAATGTTCAGCACGGTCCATTCAGGTGGCAGGGTCAGCTCACAGGTCATCTTCACATCTCCAGTCAATCCTGGAATTCAGGAGAGCAGCAGGTGGCAAATCATGTTAAGTGCCCCCTGTGATTATATAAGGAATTGACTTAGGAAACAAACAGGTGAATTTGCTAAATATTTAAGTCACCCTCTGGAACTGTCACCATAGAAACTTAACCACAGCTGGAGTTGATAACACATTGGTCAATTTCTTTCTGAACTTAATAATTTATATACCTTATAAAGGTCTTTATCTTCTAAAGGCCTCATAACAAATGAAGCACTTATTTTAAAAATTATTTTATTAGCATATATTAATAATACATTAATATACTTTGGCCACATTTACCTCTTATATTACTCTTCCTTAACTCCTCTTTCACAACCACCTCTTTGTTTTAAACCCTCTTGCATTTTTTTCTTTTATTGGCAGTACTGTGATTTGAACTCAGGGTTTTGCATTTGCTAGGCAAGCACTCTACCAATTCATCCATGCCCACAGCCATTTTTCTTTAGTTTATTTATCAAATAGGGTCTCCATTTTCTCATACTGGCTTTGGATCATGCTTCTACTACTTAGTCCTCCTGAGTAGTTTTTATTAGAGTTGTGTGCCACCATGCCCAGGTTGTTGGTTGAGATAGAGTCTCACCATTTTTGCCTGACCAGCCTCGAACTGTGATCTTCCCATCTCTACCTCCTAAGCATTTGGGATTACAGACATGTGCCACAACAGTCAGCTATTCACATTTTTAAATGGGTTTCATTATGACTTTTACATGTGTGCATACAGTATATACTTTAATCATATTCTTTTCCCTCTTCCCTCTGCTTCCCACTATTCTCTCCCCAGGAATAATCCCCCTTTTACGTATATGACCCTTTATTAAAAAATCTGGATTCTGTATATGAGAGAACACAGAATATTTTTGTCTCTCTTTTTTATAGTACTAAAGTTTAAACTCAGGGCCCTGTACTTGCTAGGCAGTCACTCTCCCACTCTACCCCCAGTACTTCTCTATCAGAACCTACCTTATTTCTCAAATGAACCACTTACTATGAGTAGTAAATTCTGAGTCAGATTAGAGGGACTTAAGTTAGGAACTTTCTGAGTAATAGATGGCAAGATTCTAAGAAATATGCCTGGGATGGGGGTCATAGCTCAGTGATAGAGCACTGGGCTAGCAAGTGCAAGGCCCTGAGCTCAAAAAACAGTACCACCATAAAGAAGAAAAACAAGGAACGTGCATAATAGAATACTGTTTCCTTCATTCTGCTCTTTTCATTCTTTCTTCTTTCATTTATTCTTCATAGCTGTGATGAAAGCTGAACATAAACATATCTGTGCCTAGCATAATATTCACCAAAACACACAGTAACACAAACAACATGGAAGTTACCAAAGCTCACAGAGAAATAAATAAACATATTTTATCATATTTGTACAAAAATAGATGTTTTAATACCACTTTGATAACATAGACTAATCTCCCAAACATTGTGTTAAGGTAAAGAAGAACTTCAAAAAATGTATTTTTTATTTAACAAAATATTTTATTAGTATGTTATTATTGTACATATATTAAAATATGTGTTCTGCTGTGACATTTCTATGTATATATATATATTGTACTTTGGTTTGGCTCACCCCCTGCATTAATATCCATCATTTCTCACTCTCCTTCTTAAAATGACTTCTACAGATTTCAGTGTTCCATATCTTACATGCATAGAATGTACCTTAGTATATTCACCCTCCTTTTACCTGCTTCATTTACCTTCTCCCTTTCACTCATACCTTCCTTTTATCATGACCTGTTTTACATTCCTGTTCTTCATTGTTTTAATGCCTGTTCATTGTTCTGTGGGATTTTGCCTCGGTCTTTTAGCCATAAATATATTGTAATTTAATTAGTCAACTGAACAGGAACTAGAGAAAATGTTAGTTTGAGAAGAATTAATTTAGAATGTAACACATATATACTGGAAAGCAATGCGAGTAAATTCCCTGTATAGCTATCCTTATCTCAACTAGCAAAAACCCTTGGTCCTTCCTAGTATTGCTTATACTCTCTCTTTAATAAAATTAGAGATAAAGGCAAAATAGTTTCTGCCTGGTAGCAAGGGGGTAGGGGGGAGAGGGGGAGGATGGGGGGGAGGGGGAGAAATGACCCAAACATTTATGCACAATGAATAAAGAAATAAAAATAAATAATTAGTCAACCCCCCTCAATTACTCATCCTTACCCTTTCTCCCTACCCTGTACTGTTCAACAGTTTCTGGTGCAACATGTTTTATACACACACAAACACACATATGATACAGTTTGTATTTGGATATATATTCTATATAAAATAACAAGACATTTGTCTTTCTGAACCTGGCTTACTTCATTTAACATGATGTTCTCAGGTTCCAGCCATTAACCTGTGAATGACAAAATTTCATTCTTTTTTGTGGCCAGATAATACTAGTCCTTCATAAGTTATAGTGAATCATGGCTGTTTCCATAGCTTGGCTATTGTGAATAATGTTTCAATAAACTGGGAATGCAAGTGTCTTTATTGTATCCTGACTTACATACCTTCAGCTATATGCCTAGGAGTGGTACTTCTGACTCATATGGTGGTACTGTTTTAGCTTTTTGAGGAGATTCTGTACTGTTTCCTATAGTGGTTGTACTAATTTACATTTCCACCAATAGTGCATAAGGGTTCCTTTTCTTACATTCTCATCATTTGTTTTGTTTGTTGTTTCTTGATGATAGCTATTCTAACAAGAATGAGGTGGATCTTAATGTGGTCTTGATTTGCATTTCCTCCATAGCAAGTGATCTTGAGTTTTTGTTCATGTGTGTGTGTGTTTTGTTTTTGGACATTTGTATTTTTTCCTTTGAAAAATTTACTTTCAGTTGATTTGCCCATTTCTTCATTAGGTCATTGATTCTTTGGAAATTTCGTTTTCTGAGCTGCTTGTAAATTCTGGTTATTAATCCATTGTCAGATACACAGCTACAAATGTTTCCAACTTTCTAGTCTGGTGACTGTTTCCTTTGCTGTGCAGAAGCATTTTAGTTAAATGCAATCCCATTTGTTAATCCTTTTTCTTAATTGCAAAGCCATTCAAATTCTATTTAGGAAGTTATTTCCCATGCCTATATGTTCCAGTGTATTCCCTACTGTCATGCAGTAGTTTCAAAGTTTTAAGCTTTACATTAAGGTTTTTGATCCATTTTGAATTGATAATTATAAGAGTGGAAGACATGGATCTAGTTTCTTCTACATGAAGATATTGAATTATCCCAGTAGCATTTGTTGAAGAGGCTATCTTTTTCTCCATTATATGTTTGAGTGCCTTTGTCAAGAATCGGGTGTGGATTTATGTCTGGATCTTCTGTCCTGTACTGTTGATCGTCATGTTAGTTTGTGCCAGTACCATGCTGTTTATATTGCTATGTCTGTGTAGTATAGTTTGAAGTCAGATACTGTGATGGCTTCAGTGTTGCTCTTTTTGCTCTTTTGCTTGAGTGTTCATAGTCTTTTGTCTTCTGTATGAACATTAGGGCTGGTGTTTCAATCTCTGTGCATAATGTGAATATTTAATATCTTTGATGGAGATTGCATAGAACACATAGATTGCTTTTGTAGTGCAACCATTTTCACAATATTAATTCTGCTGATTCATGAGCATAGGAGATTTTCCCATCTTCTAATGTCTTCATTAATTTTTTTCCTTGGAGGTTTACAGTTTTCATTATAGAGGTCTTTCACTTTCTTTGTTAAATTTATTCCTAGGTATATTTTGTTTTTACAGCTATTGTAAATGAAGTTGTTTTCCTTAATTCTTTCTCAGTCTTCTTATTCTTGCTATATACACAATCTACTGATTTCTTATATTGATTTTGTATCTTGCTACTTTGCTGAAGGTGTTTGTTTATGATGTATCTGACTTTTTTTTATTTTTCAGGGTCTTCTATGCATAAGAACATGTCATAAGC